GTGTGTGGGGTGTTTGAACAGCCCTACATTGTGAAACTCTTAAAAGGGACCTACGGGGTTTGTAGGGCTTGCAGCCGAGTCCCGTCTGGGTCCCGATCCGATCGAGCCTGATTCCGAAACATCCGGAGAAGTGTCTCCTGGAGGCCACCAGGAATTTCCTCCACTGTGCCTGAGAGAGGGAATCCTGAAGTTTGGGCAGCTGGGAAGGGATCATCTCGGCGCCTTCGAGGTCAGGATAATCGCCATCTTCATTTGCACCGCCGGTTTCGTAGTCGGAAGTTTCCAGATCCTCCTCCTGCTGGATTTTTTCTCGCAGCCGATCCAGGAGGTGCTAAAAATGGGAGAGGGCGGGAAAAAAAAACGGGAACATTCTTAAAACAGAATCCTCTCTCTTTCTCTCTGGATTTATCCCTGCACCATCAAAGCCCTGTGGAAAGCCTGGTTTTGTTGCTGAGCTGTTTCCTACTTATAGTAATTGAATGAGATTCTAGTCCTCATGGTTCTAGGTTTGTTTACAAGAAGGTGGCAGAAGACTGCCTTATACATATAATAATAATAATAATAATAATAATAATAATAATAATAATAATAATAATAATAATAATAATAATAATAATAATAATAATAATAATAATAATAATAATAATAGTAAAGTTGGAAGGGACCTTGGAGGACATCTAGTCCAACCCCCTGCTCAGGCAGGAAACCCTATACCATTTCAGATCAAGGGCTCTCCAGTCTCTTCTTAAAAACCTTAAACCATCTACATCACGGTTGGCAGATGCTCTGCTTCAAGATTGGGAGATCTCGTGAGATCCACCCGGATTTTCAGCAAACTGGAGATCTTCGATCAGCAAATGCCTCTATTTTATTTACGTATTGATTTGTATTTCCTGTTGCTTAACCACCCATCTCTCTCGGAGGTGTCTCGCACCCTCAACTGCACGCTGTCCCCCAGGCAGAGAAGCCCTCCCTACCTCTTACCTGCAGAGCCTGCAGATCTTGGCCAGAGGGACTCCACGTCACTGGATGAGCCCAGCCCGGCCCGGCCGGCAGAAACCCCATGAGCAACGTGAAGGAATAAGTCAGAACTAGGCGGCCCATCTTGTTGGCTGTGTCCCAAGGCCTCGGTGGTGTTTGTGGGACGGCAAAGGAAGGAAGGCGCTTGGTTTTATAAGGCCCTGGCAAGGAGCGTTCTCTCTGCTTCAAGCCGGCTGGGCTCCGGTGACAAAGGGCACGGATCTTGATAAGGAAACTGGTTCTAACTAGCCCGGCGAGCAGCCGAGAGTTTAGGCAAAGCTGCCTTTGCTACTCACCCCCCTCCTCATCCAGGGAAAGCAATTACACTGATGTTGTTGAGCGGCCAGCACACGGCTGCCATTAAATCTTGCAGCCCGGGGCCAGGAGATGTGCCTCAGCTTCCCCTGTCCTGGCGGGCCTCACACACACACACACACACACACACACAGAGAGAGAGAGAGAGAGAGAGAGAGAGAGAGAGAGAGACAGAGAGAGAGAGAGAGAGAGAGAGAGAGAGAGAGAGAGAGACCTTCTCCATGAAGGGAGTTGTGTGTGCTTGGATCTATCACATTGGCCTGCTGGGTGCTTGGACGTTCCTTGTCCAGTTTGTGCTCATGACAGGCCGCAGGAAGAAGATGCACTGAAACAAACTAGAATAGAATAGGATATATAATAGAATAGAATATAGAATACAGAATAGAATAGAATAGAATAGAATAGAATATAGAATAGAATAGAATAGAATAGAATAGAATATAGAATAGAATAGAATAGAATAGAATATAGAATAGAATATAGAATAGAATAGAGAATAGAATAGAATAGAATAGAATAGAATAGAATAGAATAGAATATCTTTATTGTCATTATGTAACTCACAACGAAATTAAGTGAGAAATTAAGTACAGGAGGGACAATTGATCCTGGAATGTTTTAAGAAGTTGGCCAGTGCTTTTTCCACCCAGAGCAATGGTTTATAACTCTGCAGCCTCCACAGTAGCCAACATCTTCTGTTATTTAATGGAATAACAGAATTGGAAGGGGCCTTGAAGGTCATCTAGTCCAACCCCCTGCTCAGGCAGGAAACCCTATACCATTTCGGACAAATGGCTGTCCAGTCTCTTCTTAGAAACTTCCAGTGTTGGAGCATTCACCGCTTCTGGAGGCAGGTAGTTCCACTGGTTAATTGTTCTAACTGTCAGGAAGTTTCTCCTTAGTTCTAGGTTGCTTCTCTCCTTGATTAGTTTCCATCCGTTGCTTCTTGTCCTGCCTTCAGGTTTCTTTGGAGAATAGGCAGACCCCCCCCCTTCTTTGTGGCAGTCCCTCAAATTTTGGGAGACTGCTATCATGTCCCCCCTGGTCCTTCTTTTCACTAGATTAGACATCCCCAATTCCTGCAACTGTTTATCATATGTTTTAGTCTCCAGTTCTCTAATCATCTTTGCTGCTCTTTTCTGCACTTTCCAGAGTCTCAACGTTTTGTGTGTGTGTGTGTGTGTGTGTGTGTGTGTACGTACAAAGATTTATGGCAAGCTTAGGCTCTCCACGAGAATCTGAACGCCAGGTTGTCCTCGCCTTACGACCGCAACCGAGCCCAACATTTTATGTTGCTAAGCGAGACGTCGCTTTAAGTGAGTTTTGCCCCCATCTTACGACTTTTCTTACCACGTTTGCTGAGGGAATCGGGGCGGTGGCTAAGTGAGCCACGCGGCCATTAAGCAAACCGGCTTTCCCCGTTGAGTTTGCTTGTGAGGAGGGGATCACCTGACATGCACACATACACACACACACACACACACACACACACACACCGGGACACTGCAGCCGTCATAAATGTGAGTCAGTGGCTGCAACAGCCATTAAGTGTGAAAAGCAGTCTTAAGTCCCTTTTTTCAGTGCTGTTGTAAGTTTGAATGTCACTAAGTGAACTGTTGTAAGTCAAGGACTACCTGTACTAACAGTGAAGGAAAATGAGCAAGGGTTAAGAACAGAAAGAATTCAAGGTGGGCTGGACTTAAGATCACTTGTGGGCATCCAGGGACTGAAGACCGGTGACCCCTTTGACCCCCACCTCCCTCGGGCTCAGCCGGGTCATCTCCTACATCTGACCTCTCGGGTGCATTGGAGGGCCCTCTGTCGATGCTCAGAGGCCTTTCCTTCAGGCTTGAAGCTCCCCTCTGAAGCTTTCATGTTCTGCTTGATTCTGGCGGAATGGGGGAGACCTGCAGCGATTCTCATGAATTCAAAATGGGGAGGAAAAAAGTCTGTGTGGGGGGGAGTGTTTGGCGGTTTCTATGGATCCAGCTGTTCTTTCTGGGGGTCCCGTTGCCCCTCCGTTGCCCCCCCCCACTCCCTTCTACCTGTTTTCACGGAGGAGGCTCCGTTCTCTGTCATCTCCAGCCTGGTCGAGCTTCAAAGGGCGCGTTCATTATTTCTATGCTAATGGAATTAACAGGCGGGCTAGCCAGGCAGATTTATTTTAATTAGAAGCGCCTTTTATGTGTGCAGTGGAAAAAAAAATCCTTCTCCGTGGCTGGCCAGCCCTTTTGTTTTAATTGAGGGTTTTCCGCCAGGGTTTTCATTTCACTGGGTGAATTTGGGCCAGGTGTGGCTCAAAAGGATACTTTGAAGGTCTGGGAAAAGCGAGAAAGGGGTGGGAAAATAAAATTTGGACCTAGGTGGAAACGTGGATGGAAGAGGTGGGATTTAAACCAGAGGTTGCAATTGCAAAAGGTTAAGATTACGGAAGGGTCTGCTAAGCCAAAGCAGAAACAATGATCTGGTTCTAAAGAGAAGTCATCACCGGTGGACAAAATTAAACTTAACAAAATAATCAAATTTATTATTTGATTACACACACACACACACACAAATTGTTTTTGAAGAATCTTAAGATTAAATGGAGCCATGTGCAAAATGAGGACTTGGGAGGCAGAGCCTGTTGTTCCTTGAGCCATCCTTTTCAAGCTGCTAGTCCTCAGCATCCATCTGTCAACAGATATTTTAATTGTGTAAATATGCGAGCATGTTTTGTGCACGGGTACGCACACATTTGTATCCCAGCCTTCTTGCAGTGACTTCAGGAGTGTTGTTCAAGGAAGCTAACAAAATAATCAGGTTTTCCCCCCCTCTCTGTTTTTAAAGAATCCTAAGATAAATGGAGCCATGTGTGCAAAATGAGAATTTGGGAGGCAGAGCCAGTGTTCCTTGAGCCAGCCTTGCCATGCTGCTAGTCCTCAGCGTCCACCTGCCAACAGATATTTTAATAGCGTAAATATGCGAGTATGTTTTGTGCATACAGTACTATGCACACACTCGCATCCCAGCCTTCTTGCAGTGACTTCCAAGGATTGTCGTGTGTTCAGGGGAAGCAAGTCCGTCTTGCCAATTATATCTCTGCATTTATTGATTTATTTTCCTCTTTCCAAAGGTATTGTGTTTGTTCTTTGCCTATCACTTTTACTGTTTCTGTTAGCAAGGTGGCCACCAACTGCAGTTGGGTGTTTGCAAGAAACTCTCCCAGAAGCATCCAATTAATGAAATTTGCATTGTATGGAAACTTCTGGTTCGATTTATGTCTTAGCATAATTCTCATTTTGGGGGGCTGGGGGTGATGGATGGGAGCTTAGTGGCTGCTTCAAATTATTTATAAGGAAGCAAGAGAGGCTGGGGACCCAATGAAGGAACATTTTCGCTCTTGTGCAGCATCTGTTTCTCCCTCTCTGGAATCCCTCCATCCCTGGAACACAATTTTTTTCTCCTTCCCCCCAGAGGGACACAAAGTCACTTTCTCGTATCTCTGGATCTGCCAGAATTATGTTCCCCAGCCCAGGAGTTTCCCCCAGTTCTGCATCACAGGATTTTGCTCGCCCCATTTTTAACCTCCTAAACCTGACCTCTCACGTACCGCACGCTTTGGTGGGCGGGCGGGCTGTGGGTGATGGAGTTTGTAGTGCGGCCTGCCCAGAAGGTAGGCAGTGTTGAAACAGTCATGTCTTCCAAGCCGAGATGGAATATTCCCTTCTCTTAAAAATAAATCCCTTTAAATGTATTAAAAATGGATTTTTAAGATGGGTTTTTCCCGACAGGTGGTTTTTGAGTTACAGCCATTTGTTTAGGGACCGTTCAAAGTTACAACGGCACTGGAAAAAAGTGACTTAGGACCATTTTTCACACTTAATGACCGTGGTCAGGTGATCAAAATTCGGACTCTTGGCAACTGACTTGTATTTACGACAGACACAACATCCCCGGGGTCCTCTGAATTCCCCCTTTTGCGACCATCTGACAAGCAAAGTCAATGGGGGGGAAGCCAGATTCACTTAACAGCTGTGTTCCTGACTTAACAACTGTGGGGACTCATTTAACAATTGTGACAAGAAAAGTCATAAAGCAGGGCACAGCTATCTTACAAGCTGTCTTGCTTAGCAACATAAATTGTGGCTGTCAATCAAGTTCTACCCTGTAATTTCGGTAAAGCTTTCTTTCAGGATAATTTTCCAGCATCTGATTTGGTTTGATGGCTGAGCAGAATATACCAGCAGCCCCATCTATCTGTGCCCCATGGGTATTGTAATCCAGTACTTCCTGAGAGAACTGGATTATGCTGCTCTGATTGTTCTTTTTTAAGAAAGAAAGAAAGAAAGAAAGAAAGAAAGAAAGAAAGAAAGAAAGAAAGAAAGAAAGAAAGAAAGGAAGGAAGGAAGGAAGGAAGGAAGGAAGGAAAGAAAAAGAAAGAAAGAAAGAAAGAAAGAAAAAGAAGAAAGAAAGAAGAAAGAAAGAAAGAAAGAAAGAAAGAAAGAAAGAAAGAAAGAAAGAAAGAAAGAAAGAAAGAAAGAAAGAAAGAAAGAAAGAAAGATTCTCACTGATTGTTTTGGTTTAAACGGGGAAGCCAAAAGAAGTTCTGGAAACAACAAATTACAAAATCTAATATATTTGAGTATCGCAAGTATGCATTTTTTGGCATGGATAGCTCAATCACTACTGAAGGACATGGAACAAACAACAGGAGAGCGCCTGATAAATGAAACACCAAGCTAAAAACTTTCTTGGAACGGCTGAAAGGAAGATGGATCCACACCCCT